ATATATATATATATATATATATATATATATATATATATATATATATATTGTTCTGGATTATAAGATTGTTCTGGATTATAAGAATTGCTTGCCAAACCCAGAAAATATGGCATATGTATTGAGTTACCTTTAGTTCCCAACTCAACTCTGAGCAGAACATTAAAAATATGATAAAAAGTTCAATGCTTCCCTACTAATAATTGAAGGGTTCCACGATCCGATATAAATTGTAGTTTGTACATCTGTCTCTTTGAGAGAAAAAAAAAAGCAGCTATGAAAATCCAAACCATTAAACAATCAGGCATGTGTCTTTAAAATAAAAATATAAGCTTCATAGCATTTTAAGACTCTTAATATCCTATAGCTGCTTGTTTTCTTCCTGAGAGGTAATTAAAGGAAGTGATGGAGCTGGACCATGGTGAAAAGGCACAGTGTTGTCACTGAATTAAAGGCTGTGTATTGTATCAGTTTTTACATAGGAAGTCTCTGAACTGATAGTAAAAATAGTTAAAACACAGATCTACAACAAACTGTGTTGCAAATCAGGTTATCATTATCTTATATAAGCCATGAAAATTGGAATCATGTGAGCAGAAGGTTAGATTAATTCTCCATTCTCATTATAAGCACAGGTGTAGCACAAACACCATGTGAAATAACCAATTAAAATGAAAAAAAAATCTGCCTTTTCATTAACTGCCTGTAGTGCATGACCAATTAGGAAATTATTTAATATTAATATTCTGCATATTCAAAAAGTAATTTTCATAGTAACTAATATAGGTAAGAGGGAAAAGCATAGTTCTTTATTTATGCTACTGTTCATAATCTCCACTGACAGAGAAAAAACAGTCTCTTGACTTTCTGTTTCAAGTCTTTTTAAAGAGCAATTTTTTTTTTTTTTTTGTCATTGTTCTGTTTTGTTTCTTCGAAACAGCATTTCTCTGTGCAGCCTTGACTGAAACTCCTTCTGTGGACCAGGCAGGCTTAAAACTCACGGAGATCTGCCTGCCTCTGTATGCTGGGATGAAAGATATGCACCACCATGCATGGCTAGGAAAGCATCTTTTAACAGGTGAGGACAATTTTTAACAAGGCTCAGAGAAACCGAGGGACTCCTTTCGGGTCATGTGACACCAAAGAGATGTTAAGAATGTGTTGATGACACAAAATTGGGAGATGATCATGATTACCTTCCTTTCAAATGTCGGGACTACCGCAGCTATTCGTGCATTACCTTCTAGAATAGTCTATAGTAAACAGTTATCTGAAAATTACCTACTTTTTAACCAGTTACCACTGGCAGCAACGCTTATGTTCAGATAAGAAATGAGCATGACAATGAACTCCTTGTAAACGGAGAAGGACGAGCACCCAGCTTGTGTGTGTAGAGAAAAATGAGGCTGCTCATTTTTGTAACATTCTGTAACTCCATTGTCCCACATTCCAACACCTGCCCCGTCTACACTCCAACAGGTAGACTCCCAAAACCAACACGTAATAACCAGTGCATGACCATCCAGCCAATGGCACCAGAGGAAAACTCTGAATCAAGTTTAGAAACCCTTTGTCACTTAGCTGGGCCATTGATATGGATCTCCATAATATCCCACCAAATCAATGCACAGCCAGTGCTAACCATATTCCCCAAGAGTCTGTCACTGAACAAGGCAAGCAACTAGAGGTCCTGTCCTCCACCCAAAATCCTTGCATGGCTCAGTATTCTGGGACAATTTCAACATTTCATTCAACACTTGAACACAACCATCATGTCCTCTAGGCTTCTCTCTCTCTTCTCTCTGGGTTAAATATCCATGGTTCTTAAAAGGTCCCCTCCCCCTCATATTTTGAGCCTACTTTCACTCAGGCCACACTACTCCCTTTGCTGGGATTTTGGTGTCTCTCTGGAAGTTTGCAGAGATACACTGGTTGCATTCATTTGGAACCTGTCCTGGTGCCCAGTAAGGTCAAACTCATTACCACATCCTCTTAACTCACCAGCCACAGCTACTGGTTATGATTTACTTCTTTTTCTAGTGCTGATAATTGTTTTTAATTGATACACAGATTTCACAGACTCATTTACATAGACATGGGGATGAGAATTCAGGAGTTAAAAACAATAACAGACAGAAACAATGGAAATCAAAGAGAACTTAGCCACTTTGAATTGTTCAGGTATGTTACTAGGGCTACATATAACTAACTTGCCTGCTTGGCACGAGACAGGCTTGTATGGAGTTCATGCTGGCCCTATACTGGCTAGCTCAAGAGGATGGACCCGACCTTCTGAATGGTGAGCACACCAGTATTTTTAACTATGCTGGCCTTATGAGGTACTTGGGGACTGAACCCAGGGCCTGGTATATGCTGGGCAGACTACTCTACCAACCAACCTACACCTTCAACTCAACTATCTCTTTTGGAAAACCATCATTGAAAAACATTTTGGTATAATAGAATATTATCAATACTTTTGAGACATAGTAAGTTCTTGGAACATTACTAAATTTTAATCTACATACTATTATGAACAACTTGTACTATGGATTAAGGTTAAACAGGAAAGTATTTAATTTTCTAAAATAATACTTTATTTCTACCTGCATCATTTCAACATGATTCTCCTTGGTGACATTTGTCACTGTCACAGAGGACCTCGGTCTTTGCCACCAATCCTCTCTCTCTTTGGAATTAGCTTCATACAGCAGAAAGCATCAAGAAGGCTTCAGGGGTGAATTCAGATACAAAAACATTTTCCTTCTGGGCAAAGCAATAAAATGGCATTCTTGCTCCTCCCACTATAAGTCAAACTGAGGTCAGCTCCCTTGTCCCACTATCTGTTTAAATAAACTGGCCTGGCTGTTTGTTTCTCAAGTGCCCTTTGACCTGTGTCTCATCCTCCCTGCTTTGGTGGGAGAATGCTTTGCTTTTCATTGTGAATGAAGCAAAATGATTAAAAAGTTTGTAAACCTGGAAACCAACAAAATGCTTTTAGATTGGATGTGAACATGGATGGACTCATTTTCCTTCATATATATATATATATATGGGAAATCAGTAAAATGGTTATCTTAAGTACATTTACTGAAGCAAGATCATGTAGTTCAAAAAACAGTGGTTCTGAAAACGAGTGACAGAGGAAGGATAAATTCCAAATTAGAAAGAATACTATAAATACATTTCTGATCACTACAGAATAAACTTTTTTTTTTTAACTGCTCTTCAAATATATCTCAGATGTATTTGATGTCAAGAATCTGACTGTGAGCTTGGCTCACTCCCTGAGATGGGCAGTTGTACAACTTTTCTCAATAGAATACAAGCAAAATATGTTACAATTTAGGCTTTAAACAATAAACTGATGTTAAGTAACTTTTAAAGGTTGTAAATGTCTTATTTGCCTTTGTATATTACTGTACACACAGAGAGAGACACCTTAATTATAAAGTGCTTTTAAGAACTAGACTCCCCTTTTGTAGGTGGTAAACAAATGAAAAGGAAGGAAGCCTACATCTCCTTCTGTATGCACCACAGAGTAGTTTCTGCTTGAGAGAGACCCTATTATCTTCTTTCTGAGGCCAAGTTTTACCAAGGAAAGGAAAATAGTGAGTTGACCTTATAGCTTTCCTCCATGTCCAAATAAACAGAAATTTATTTCTCTTTGACCTGGTTGTTTGTTTAGGACTAAGAGTCCTTGTAAGGAGGAGCAAGAGCTAAGGCAAGAAAATCTCCCATCATCTGAGACTTGAGATCAACTATAAATTGAATTTTACTTTTTACATTTTATAAGAATCATACAAGTAGATTTAAAGCTAGATCCAAATTTATCTTTTAGGAGAGAAGCTCTGATTTCATTTCTTCTCCTCACTCCACAGTTGTTACATGTTGGGTGTTTGAATATGTGAATGTGCATTTGTGTGTATGTATGTGTGTGTGTATTTGTGAGTGTGTATATGTGTATATGTGTGCTGTTTGTGTATTTGTGTGTGTGTTTGTGCATGTGTAGGTGTGCATATGTGTGGTGTGTGAATGTGTGTAGGTTGGGCGTATTTGTATATGTGTGTGTGTGTGCGCGCGTGTGGTGTATATGTGTATTATGTGTGTGCTTGTGTGTGTATGTGTGGTTTGTGTATG